AAACAGCAAGGCAAGCTGTGGGCCTCCTAGGCTGCACACCATGCCCCCCTCTCCACCACTACACACCCACATGGGCACCCCCTCAACCACCCCTTGTTGCCCTGCCCTCTGTAGGGTAGGATGTGGAAATCAGAGGAGAGAGTGGAGATCCCAGGAGTATCCCACAAACTGGCATGGAGTTGGTAGCATCTTAAAGAACACAATTTGCCACAAACTGCAGTTTTTAAAAATATGCATTTGAATATATCTATATTTAACTTGAGCTCAGTGCGAATCAGATTGGCTATCAATATATGTCATACTTTTTATGCTACATATTTTGTGTTTTGAATATATTTGGAAAAAATTGTGTACTGAAATTTTTAAGGTAAAGCTTTAGTACAGACTTTAATACCTCCAGAAATATTCAAGCTCTGGGTGTGAAGAATTGGATATTTGAAAAACTTCTGCTTTGAGGGGATGTTGGAGGTATCAATCATCTGTCAGAAAAGTGAAGCTAGTGTACTGTAGACTAGTCTAATTCTTTCACTAATTATCTCAGCTGTCTTAACAGCACAGGTAAATTGACATGCACGTGGATTTTGGGACCAACTTGGCTCTGAGACAACATACCATAAGCTAATTAAAATCTACTTCTGACATCTGCTGTAAATTGTATCACTGAAAGTCTTAAATTTTACTTTACAGAAATCAACTATGGAAAAAATACAGCAGTTGCAAACAGCAAATCAACAGGCAGCAATGAAGCTGGAGAAACTTGAGTGAGTACAAGATCTAATAATTAATTGACTTCAGTGGTCTTTTCTAGTTATAACAAATGTGTGACATTTACCTGGGAATATAATAGTTGGTGAGATGTGTATCTCTTAAAAAAAAACAAAAAACCAAAAAAAGACCAACACCAAACTGTGGTTGGTTACTGATTTCCTTAAATCAATCTGGGCACTGTATGGCATCTTTAACAAACAGTTTGAGAATATTCCATCTGCTAAAATAAATAAAATGAATATTATCTTCTTTCCAGGTTGTAGGAGTGATAGCTTGCTTTTTCTGTAAAGAAATGAGTGGGGAATCAAAAGTGAGTTTGCAGTTAATCCTGAAATTTGGCACAGTAAGAGATGAAGCAGGACTTCAAAGACATGTTACCACTTTGAATGAATGAAGTCTATGTTCTAGGGCAGTGGTGCCCAACCTTCTGGCCCCATGGGCCAAATGAGTGGGCAGGATTGATCTGTTGGCCAGATCCTGAATGGGGTCGGTTCACAGGGGCAATCCTGTGTACCTGGGTCTCGCTGTACGTTGGCTCAACCCTGCCTGCCTGGACCCAGCTGCACACTGGCCTGTGGCGTTGAAATTTTGGCAGCAGGGAAGTATCAGTGCTGCCACCACTCCCCTCCTACCAAATTTTCAGACCTTTGGGGAGTGGTGCAGGCCAGATCTGACCCATGGACTGGAGGTTGAGCACCACTTCTAAAGTATATAATTTAAGGTGTGATCTGAGAACACTTGGCTGCTTTGGGACTTGAGATTCATAGAATCATAGAATCAATGAGTCGGAAGGGACCTAGACAGATCATCTAGCCCGACCCCCTGCCATGGGCGGGAAGGAGCACTGGGGATGGGAGGGGTCATAAGACCCCAACCAGGTGCCTATCCAGTCTCCTCTTGAAGATTTCCAGGGAAGGTGAGAGCACCACCTCTCTAGGAAGCCTGTTCCAGGCTCTGGCCACCCTTACAGTGAAGTAGTTCTTCCTAATATCTAACCTAAACCTATCCTCCCTCAGCTTGTGGCCATTGTTCCTGGTGACTCCAAGGGGGGCCCTGGTGAACAGACTTTCCCCGAGTCCCTGCTGGTGGCCCCTGATAAGGTTGTAGGCAGCCACAAGATCCCCCCTGAGTCTCCTCTTGCGGAGACTGAAGAGATTCAGGTCCCTCAGCCTCTCCTCATAGGGCTGGCCGTGGAGGCCCTCAACCATACGTGTG